AGCGCACCGACATCGCGTGAGTTCAAGCATTGGTTAGTTGGCAACATTCCCGGTAATGATGTGGCTAAAGGTGAAATGTTGAGTGCATATGTAGGATCAGGGCCGCCGCAGGGCACAGGTCTACATCGCTATGTGTTTCTATTGTATAAACAACAGACTAAACTAGAATTCCGCGAAGAACGAGTTAGCAACACCAGTCGCAATGGACGTCCGAAATTCCGTGCGGCTGCTTTCGCTGAAAAGTATTATCTCGGAGAGCCTGTCGCCGGAAATTTCTATCAGGCCCAATGGGATGAATATGTGCCGACTGTACATAAACAATTATCCGGCAATTAACTGTAAGGTTCAAATCTAATCTGCAAATTTTTTAGTAAAAATATACCTTTTTAACTGCTTTTAAAAAAATTAAAATTGTGTTTATTTATTCGCGATTAGACTTAGGTATATGTACTTATTTTTTTTATTGCTATATATGCTTCTGTTTGTAGCTCATTTCCCTGCAGCTGTTGCCAGAGGATTTCGCAATACCAAAATCACCGAATCTCCACGTAGAAACATTTTCGATATGAACCGATCTTTGTTCACGGGCTTCACTTTCTTCTTGCCTTTGCCTGTACGCGGCAACTCAGTCCACATCTCCTTCACGCTCTCCAATACCATATTGCAGTGACGATCGAAAGCCTTGACTCTTCCAAGCAGTTTTTTATTATTGCGACAATTTATTAAGACTTGTGTATTGTTTTTCACGGATTGAGTAAGGACGGAGAGCGGGCCAGTGTTAAATTCCTCCTCTTCCTGACGTGCCAGTTCCTCAGGTGTCAGTTCAGACTTTGGTTTGACGAGCGCCCTGGGTTAATAATTTGAGGTTAAGTTAGTACAAAAAACTATTACAGAAATCGCTTACATTATAATTGGTTTAGTTTTTTTAAGACAATTGAGATTAGATCCGAGATGTTTTCTTTTCTATAAAACTTCTGCAAACGTTTGCTAATGTTGGCGGATGTATGAAGAAATATCTGCCATGAAGACGCTGAAATTTTGACAGTGGTCAGGGAGAACAATCGATGAGACTCTCGATAGCTTTATCTTCCCAGCACTACCGAAATTTTTTGAACACTATCGATAGTTGTGAGAGAGTCTCATCATCATTAGCGATGTTACTGCCATACCTAAACAAAAACGTCGTCTGGGTAAAAAATTGTCGTAAGCGCAATGTTGACAATTTTTAGTTCTAGATGCAGTTATATATTTTGAAAAAGGTCTTTCGATTGGTGTTATCAGTTTTCAGATATCTCCTTTAGTTTCCGAGGTATTGACTACAATTTTTTCTATAATTTAGTAAAAATTTAGTTAGTGATGCAGCCATATTAAACTAATCGATATCTTAAAAATTACGTTCTCCATTTTTGGATATCTCCTTTAGTTTCCGAGATAGTGAGTAAAAAGTGTCGTTAATTTAGGAGAAATTTTGATCACATGTCGTATTTCATACGAAGTGTGGCTGCCAAATTGAGGACAAATGACGGTTACGACGAAATTTTACTAAAGAAAATCCTTCATAAACTCAAAGCTAATTAACATTAAACATTAAAAATTAAATAATTTAAGAATTTTGTGAACTAGTAACATTTTCAGAGACTTTGGAGAACATCTATCTTCACGTTTTTGAGAAATTGCATTCCAAACTTCAATCGCGATTTCCCACAACCTGCCGAAACCAACATACGACAATCTTTTACCCAGGCGACGAAAACCGTTAGCGTTGTCTGGTTGTCAAAAAATTCGAATGCCTGGATTATAATGGA